TCTGCCTTCCCCCCTTCCGTGGCAACTGACGGGGGCCTCCCGTGCTACCTCGCTGCCTCTGGCGCATCGACGCCGCTTGGCGCCAGTCGACGCTGAACTGACGCGAGCCGCCGCTCATCGGCGCTATCCCATATCCCATGAGTTGCTGCCGAAGCCCCCGGTGCGCGCCACCGAAGAAGGCACAGTACAGACTGCCGCCACGTGGCAGCCGGGGCGCCGCCACGGCGGGCACAGCGGCGGCGGGCGGGCGGGCGTGGCCCGCCACGTCCGCCTCGCATGGCGGGGCGGCGGGTGCAGCACGGGGCCCGACCGCAAGAGACCTTCCACGAGAAGCCCAACCCTGAGACCCCAGGACGCCCACTGGCTCTTGGTGCGGGAACGCCACGGGTTCCGCGGCAAAGCCACCGAGCCCCGAGCAACCCCGGGGCACCCTGGAGGCAGGCAGGGGCGTCTCCTGGCACGGGCCCCCGCTGCAGGAGCACGCCGCGCGCTCGCCGCCCCGCCCGGGGCGGCGGGATCCACGCGTGCACGGCCACTGCCCGAGGCCTGGCTCCGTCCTCGGGCCCACACAGAGGGCGCCTCTGCGCCCACCTGGCACCGCCCCGGGGTCGAGGGCGGGGCAGGCCTCGGGCAGTGGACGTGCATGGGTCCCGTCGCCCCAGCCCTGGGCCCGCGGGCCTGAGGAGCAGTCACCGGGAGCGCCCCCCCCTCGCATTGGAGGGTCCGGGCTCAGTAGTCGTCGTCGTCGTTGTCCTGCTCGAACACGTGCGGAGCCGGGGCCGAGTTCAAGAGCATTGCGGTGGCACGGGTCTCGCTGTCGTCCTCATCGCCCCCGAGGTTGAAATGCCTGTGCACCATCACCTGCTGCTGCATTTCAAGCAGCTTCACTTTGTGGGGGGTCTCGGGGAGGGCCCGACTGATCAGGAAACGCGTGAAAAGCATGCTGTGCTCCACAATCAGGAAGACTAATATCTTCGTGGACGCATCCCAATCCTCGAAAGCTGAGGACGAGAAAACCACAAGCGCCGTGTTCGTTAGCATGGCGAGGATGCCGAACACGTCGAAAGCGGTGTCCCAAGGCTCGTTGTTGGCAGCTGTATCCGGAAACGGGCGCCGATAGAGCAGAATGAGCTTCTTCTGATCCAGAAAACACTCGAGCAAGCAATACAGAAAGGACAGCAATGGCACCCAGGGGCAAGCGACGACGAAGAGGGTAGTGTAGCCGTACAAAATTAAGATCTCGTCCATGTCCTCATAGATGTCGTACTCCTCCTTCTTGCTCTGCTTCTCTGCGTTCGACATGTCGGGCATGACCGTAAGTGGGTTTGTGAAGAGCGACGTGTGGAATTGGCGACCCTCCCTGTAGTTTCGCCAGGCCATGAGCAAGTAAGGGACGCCAAGCTCCACAAAATTCTGAAGGGTAAGCCGCATGATCATGAACACAGCGAGCTGAAGCCCCACATCGTGGAGGCAATCTTCGTGATAACATTCCATTGTCTGCCCGAACAGGTGGCCGTGCTTCTTGAAGAAGGCGATATCCGCCACCGTGCCGTAGTCACTAGGTGTAATGTCCTCAGGTCACTACTTCGAATCCTTCGAGCTGAATCTCGTAAATACGCTTCAACGGGCCAATGATTCCCGGACGCTCCCGGGCGCTCCGGAGGATCGTCGCGTAACTGTTCCAGAGGCCTCGGGAATGTGGTTCCGAACCCGCGGATCCAACCTGCCAAAATGTTGTCCCCACAAGACCGTCCTGGGGCTCTCTTGGGGGCCTCTTGGACCGTCTTGGAAGCCCTCGGGGTTGGCCCACGTTCCACAGATTGCAAAAGCGGATTTGTCCCCATTAGATGCTACTCTATTGCAATTTTGCAATTGTTGCAATTTTTCCCCATGCTACCCTATTAGATAGTAAGAGCTCCCAGGACGCCCAAGAGCCCCCCAATACCCGCCCAAGCGAACCCCAATAGAGGGGCTCAATAGGCTCCCAAGAGGCCCCCGAGAGGGGGACCTCGAACTGCAATTTCGAGCCCTCCAGCCCAAGATGGCCCCCGAGACAGCCAACAGGCCCCCAAGAAGGCCTCAGGGTTCCAAGAGGCCCCCAAGCCGAAGAAACATGCAAGAGGCCTTCCAAGAGACCCCCAAGAGGCCTTCCAATAGACCCCAAGAGGCCTCTGGTCTGACCCAGGCGTGGTGGCGGGATGAGCCGAAGGCCACTAGATCCGCCGCCCCACATTAGCTTGCCACAAGGGTGCCCGGCATGCTGGATCCTTTCGACTTTGGTTTTGGTTCTTTTCCCAAAGAACCCCCCTGGGACTTCGGCCGATCCCGCCAGGGTCCCGGAAAGGCTCCCAAACCACCTCAACGACCGCAACAAACTCTCCAAGACGGCTCAAGATGGCCTCGAAGATGGTCACGTTGGCCCAAGATGGCCTCCAAGCTGGCCTCCAAGTCGCCAAAGATGGTCCAAGATGGCTTCCAAGACGGCCCGAGAGAGTCCAAGATGCCTTCAAGTTCGTCCAAGACGCCTCCAAGACGGCCCAATATGGCTCTAAGATGGCCTAAGACTGGCCAAGAGGCCCCCAAGAGGCCTGCAAGACGTCCTCCAGGAAGACCCGAAAGGGCAAACATCATTGACGTTCCTTCGGTTGTTTTTAAAAGATTTTGACATTTCCTTCTTATCAGCTCTCCGACGGCCCAAGACGGCCCAAGAGGCCCCCAACATCGTCCCAAGAGCGCCCAAGAGGCCTCCAAGGTGGCCCCATGACAACCCAAGAGGCCCCCAAGAGGGCCGGCTAAGATGGCCTCCAAGAAGCCTCCAGGACGGCCAGGAAGGCCTCCAAGACAGCGACGATGGCCCCAAGATGCACCCAAGACGGCCCCAGATGGCCTGAAAATGGCCTTAGACTGCCCTAAAGGCCCGCCAGAGGCCTCCAAGACGGCCCAAAACGTCCTCCAGGAGGCCCGAAAGCTCGGAAACCACCTGGTCCGATCGCCCGACTCCGTCTTCCCCGAAGGCTTTCGAAACCCACTCGGGGAACGCGTGGCCCGTAGCTTGTCATACAGTGGAGGCCAGTCCACAGGAAACCTTCCACAAGAAACCCAACCCTGAGACCCCAGAACGTCCATCGACTTCTGGTGCGGGAGCGCCACGCCTTCCGCAGCAAGAGCATCGAGACCCCAGAAACCCAGGGCACCCTGAAGGCAAGCAGGGCGCCTCTTGGCATGGGCCCCCCGCTGCACTTTTTTGGTAATCCCCAAACGTGGTGGTGACAACACCTGGCGGTGAGTCTCTGGCGATTTGGTGTCACCACCCGGTTTGGGGACTCGTGCGGTTTTCCGAGGATGTCCCGAACACTGGAGGGTCCAGGAGTCACAAAACCCGGTGGTGACCCCCCAAACCCAACGGTGACCTTTTTTGGGGATTCCAGGTCGCCACCTGGTATCTCACCACCCGGTCTGGGGGTTCCCAACTTTTGGTCACGTCTAAGAGTTCTTGGCCGATCGTGGCGGCCCTGCGGAACAGAAGCCTCCCGTCCACTTTCCGCCCCGCCGCCCGCCTTCCCGCTCCAGACGGGGGTCGGGCATGTCCCCCTACAGGAGGAGGAGGAGGAGGAGAAGGAGGAGGAGGAGGAGGAGGAGGAGGGACAAATGAAACATAGTCTACACACATACCTGGAAATGGTTAAACAGAGTCGGAAATTCGCTCCCAGGCAATATGTGGACTATTTTTGCATAGTTTCCTGTAGAGGGACGTGCCCGACTGAACTCCAGACGGCCCCACGATGGTCTCCAGGACGGCTGCGATGGCACCGAGGGAGCCCGAGAGGCCTCCACGACGGGCCGACGGACCGAGACGCCCCCAGGATGGCCCTAAGGTGGTCCCAAGATGGCCCAGGGCGGTCCAAGCGGCCTCCGAGACGGCCCAAGGGGCCTCCACGAGGAGGTCCAGGAAGGCCCGAAAATGCCCGAATGAGAAATTCCCGCCTCGGTTCTTGCAGGAGTTCGGCCTTTGCTCATGTTCGGCTTTCCGACTGTCCAAGGCGGCCCCAGAGGCCACCAAGGTGGCCCCAAGAGCGCCCGAGAGGCCTCCGAGGCCTCCAAGATGGGCCCAAGAGGGCCCCAGACTGCCCAGGAGACATCCACGACGCCCAAGATGGTCTCTCCAAGACGGCACTGAAGCGCCCCAAAGGGACCTCTAGAGAGGCCCCCAAGAGGCAAGAGGAAACCCCCAAGAGGCCCCCAGGAAGCTCCCCAGAGGCCCCAAGAGTGCCCCAGGAGGCTCCCAAGAAGCCTCCTCCTTTTGCTCCTTTTTCCTACCTCTCCTCTTTTCAATTCTCCCCTACGTGCTTGCTGAAGGACTTCCACACAGGCTGGGGGAACACGTAGTCCGATAGCTTGGCCGAGCTCTGGCCGCCACCTTCGGCCACTTAGGCTCTTCCTAACGGCAGGGGGCGGCGGTGATTCGCCGTCGGCGTCTTCGATAGTAAAGGGAGATGTAACAATTCACGAACTTGAATATCACGGTCTTCGCCATAAGGTGATTGGCATACTCAGAATTTGCCCTGTGGTTCTCCCTGTCCGTGAGGAACTTCGCAAAACTGGTAAAAATAGTGTTCATACACTCCACAACCAACGCGTTGATGATCATGAAGAACAAGCCGTGGCCCTGAAAGTCTACCATCCTGCTGAACAGGAATAGCAACATGACCAGGAAGACCAGAATTGCGATAGAGAACGCTATTACAGTATAGCTGCACAACACGTGCTTGATCCGCTCGCTCCAAGGATAGTACCGATCTATACGGCCCGTCACTGGGTTGATGCGGCTGGCCTCTGGGCCACCGACGAACTCTGGCCTGGTGGGTTCGAACTGCTTTGTGAGTTCGAATGTGCCCCACTTGAGCGCGTGCGTTGCAGTCGTTCGTCGCCAGAAGGGGACGAACAGGGTGGTCCAGACTCCGATTACTATGCAAGCCACGAGCGATGCGTACATGTTGGATGTCTGAAGGGCAGTCTCCACAATCCAGAACACGATGCCGAATAATGTCAGCGGAACAAGCCACTTGTTGAAGTGAGACATGAAAAGGAAATACAGTGCGATCTTCTCACCGAAATAGTCGCGAACCTTGTCGATGTGGGTGCCCCAAGCAAACGCCTTGAACCAATCATCGTCGAGGTCTGTCAGCTTTCTGTTTTCGTGCATGGGAAAATAATGCAGCAAATCGCCATCATGCATGAGCTGGCCGACGTCCAGGCCAGCGCAATTGTGATCACTATTCCGGACTATGTAGTCGATTAAGCGAATCCTGTCCACCGTCCGGAATATGTCGCCGGGCTGGGGGTATGCCTCCTTCTCCCCCGCCAGGTCCTGGCGTCGGGTTTGTCTGGCCACTCTGAAGAACAAAAGCGTAACAGAAATGACATAAAGGCATGGGTCAGCACAAAACACAGTCAACGTGCGCTTTTAGTCAACATGTTGCGAATTTGCTTTGCGTGACCCATTTCTGTTTGAAGAACTGTGGGCCTCCCAGCCCATGAGAGTGGTGGGACGACCGTGGTCCTGATGGGTCTTGTACAGGTGCGAGACTATGCAGTGGTCGCTGTAGTTCAGCTCGCGACGCCCGCCCCAGTCATTCTTGTAGGGCGCGTAAGCCGAGAGGTACTGCGCCTTGAGCTCCAGCTGATACTGCCGCATCTCCGCCACCTGGCGACTCCCTAAGCCTCCAGAACATGCAAACCTCCCGACGATCGCTGAAGACCGTCGGGAAGCGCGAACAACAGTCCAACTATTCCAGGGAAGACCTCCTCCTCCTCCTCATCCTCCTCCTCTTGCTCCTCCTCCTCTTCCTCCTCCTCCTCCTCCTCCTCCTCCTCCTCCTCCCCCTCCCCCCTCCTCCCCCTCTTCCCCCTCCTCCCTCTCCTAGTCCTCCTCTTCCTCCTTCTCCTCCTCCTCCTTCTTCTCCTCCTCCTCCTGCTCCTCCTCCTCTCCTCCCTCCTTCTCTTCCTCCTCCTCCTCCTCCTCCTCCTCCTCCTCGTCCTCCTCCCACCTCCTCCTCCTCCTCCGCAAATGCACAACATGAATACTGCTCTCCTCTCTCCCCTGATGACGTCCGGAAGATATCGGGCCCCCTTCCGCGTACTGTCTTTTTACACACAGGATTCCTACAGGCTCGGTTTGGCGACCAGCACAGGTCCCACCCCGTCCTGAACCGCAAAGTTCTCTTCCGAGCCCAGCTCTCCGAAGAGGAGATCCAGCAGTGGGAAAGGCAGCTGGGCCGCGATGTCTGGACTGAGACGGCGAGCTGCGACTCCAACCTTCCGGCCCACCTTCTCCGTGACCACGGCACTCGGCGTTCCTCCCCTCGTCTACCGCTCCGTAGCGCCCCTGTCCCGTGCTACCTCCGTGGCCATGGATGCGCCTCCAGGGATTCGCTGTGCAACACGCCTGCGGCTCTTTCCGCCTCTCCCCCCCGCCCTCCACCCCCCCCGCCACCACTCCACTCCTACCACTGGTACCCGTACGCCACCTCCACGCCTCGTGCTGTCCGCAGGCCCGCCTCAGCCACAAGCTGCACGAGGCCCACTCGCTACCCCGCTTTTTTTTTGTTTTTGCGACAGAGCCCTGTCACACACACACTCCCTCCGATGTGTTGCTGTTCGTGTCGGCTTACTCGCTCCCCGCGCTCCCCCCATTCGGGGATGGCGGTCTCAAAGAGCACCTGCCCGAGGCTCACTGCAGTGTCACTGGTCTCGACGCCGTGCGTCTCGAGGAAGAGTACCCAAAGAGAGTCTTCTACTACGAGGAGCGTGATGGCCCGTTTCCTGTTGCAGAACAAGAAGTCCGACGTGCCGTGAGCGCATACGCACGTCATCAAACGCACAGCTACCCCAGAACGCACAAAATCAACAACGACCTTCCACTACACAACGGCCAAGAGCGAGGTCTACGCGGCTGCGCTGTGTGCGCCATGACATTATGGAAGGAAGACCTCGAAGAGTTCGAGTTGTTCGAATCGCGGCCCGCCCAAGACCCTACAGGCAGGCCTCGCCCGGACCTCGACGAGGATTACGACCGCCACGATGGTCAAGTCCAACGAGGCTCCGCCCAGGTGCACTCTCGTGCACGCCGACTCAACGACCTCCTCCCAGCAGATGCCTACATGGACCGATTGCGGGCTCTCGAATCACCGGGAGGCCACCCCACCCTGCCCCGAGCTGAGGTCTACGGCACTAGCGTCATGCACCCTTGGGCCACAGATTCCGACGGTGCTGCCTGCCGCTGGATACTGGACACCACAACTATCCCTGTCTCCACGGACGGTGGCCCTGGCCTACGCCCAGACAACACGCTGCAGCCGGATTCCCTGTCTCCGACGGCCGCTTCCCCTGCATACCCACGTGCATCAACTGCAGACTCGACCTCTCCCGGAACTCGCCCGTCCTCCCTCGGTACGCTCTCGCTAACGACAACCTCATCTTGCGAGAACCTGTCGCATTCCGGAAGAACGGTGCGAAGCTCTCCCCCATGACGTTCGCCATGCTCGCCCTCGTCCGCATGCTCGTTCGGAAAATAATCGCCGAGAAGACAAAGAAGGCTCGCAAGACGGCCCGAGAGGCCTCCAAGACGGCCCAAGAAGGCCCCAGGAACACCTTTAGAGGGGTCCCAGAGAAGAACCACGGACGAACATTCCCAGCTTTCCGCCAAAATAGACCCCCAGGATGCCCCAAAAAGCTCACAAGAGGCCGCCAAGAGGCCTCCAGAAGCGTCCAAGAGGCCCCCGGGAAGCCCCCCCGGAGGCTCCCAAGAGCGCCCCACCACTGCCCAAGAGAGCCCGACAAAGCGGCACAGCGTCAAACGGACAAGACGGGAACCAGCATTATGCGCTCTGTAGGCATCCTCTTCTCTGCTTTCCTCTTTCTCGCAAGTCGCGCCCACCTGTTCTCCAAGGTCGGGGCTCGTGGCAATATCAGAGTTGGGCCGCACAAGCCCCACTTTGGGGCCTCGCCACGCCATGCTGTCATGCTACGCGTTAAGCTTCAACACCATGAAATGCAGTGTAATGCTATGCCATGCTATGATACCTGATTGTGCAAATCGAGAGGAGACCTGAGGATATCTACGCCATGGTAAGGGATGGGAGGGAGAGGTAGGACACCAGATATGACGCGAGCGCACCTGGCTTGTCCCCCTCCTCCTCCCCATCCAACCTTCGTCGTCAGACCTCCGACATCATGATTCTGTCACGGGGCAAAACCCCTGCGCTCTGGACCGGCCGCGGGGCTCCAAACCGGCCCCAAGACGCCGAGGCCGTCAACAAAACGAACGCCGCGGCCGACCGCCATGATTTTCTTGCAACGCCTGGAGGTCCAATTACTCATCCTTCCCTCTCCTCCTCCTCCTCCTCCTCCTCCTCCTCCTCCTCCTCTCCTCCTCCTCCTCCTCCTCCTCCTCCCCCTCCCCCTCCCCTCCCCCGCCCCTCCCCTCCTCCTCCTCCTCCTCCTCTCCTCCTCCTCCTCCTCCTCCACCTCCTCCTCCTCCTCCTCCTCCACCTCCTCCTCCTCCTCCTCCTCCTCCTCCTCCTCCTCCTCCTCCTCCTCCTCCCTCCTCCTCTTACTCCATGGGAACAGACCACCTGCATTTGCTAAAAACATCTGGAGGTCTGCGCGGACTCCCTGGCGGCGCCTCCAGCGTCGCCGCGGGCGCGCGGAGCGTGCCAGACAAGGGTTTCCGGCGCCGATCCGAGATCTCAGCGCGGACCTCTCATTTTTATGCTTTGGCATTTTTTCTTCTCGACCCTTACGACCAGCCACAATTTGGGGAGCTGTGATCCGTTCCTCACCACACTGGGGGAACCAAACTTATCGACGAGCCCTCGAGGGGGATGTCGAAAACGAGGGGTCCCCACGCTCCTTCTCCTCCTCCTCTCTCCTCCCTCCTCCTCCTCCTCCGCCCCCTCCCCGTCCCCCTCCCCCTCCCCCCTCCTCCTCCTCCTCCTCCTCCTCCTCCTCCTCCTCCTCCTCCTCCTCCTCCTCCCCCTACTTCCCCTACTTCCCCTACTTCCCCCCTACTTCCCCCTCCTCCTCCTCCTCCTCCTCCTCCTCCTCCTCTCCTCCTCCTCCTCCTCGCCTCCTCCTCCCCCCCTCCTCCTCCTCCTCCTCCTCCTCCTCCTCCTCCTCCTCCTCCTCGTCCTCGCCCTCCTCGTCCTCCTCGTCCTCCTCGTCCTCCTCGTCCTCCTCGTCCTCCTCGTCCTCCTCGTCCTCCTCGTCCTCCTCGTCCTCCTCGTCTTCCTCGTCCTCCTCTTCCTCCTCCTCCCTCCTGCCGCAAGTGCTGGTCGTCGGCTGCGATCCTCACAAAGACCTCGTCCCGGTCCCGGGAGTAGTACAGCATCAGGACCAGGCCGGCGTCGCTGAGCGCGTGCACGGCCATCGTTCTCCTCGGGCGGTGCCCTCCTCCCCTGCACGCCAAGCGCACACCGACACCGATCCTGGCCCGGCCAGCTCTGGGCCCAGGATATGCCCCGACAGGATCGGTGCTGGTGTATGCTTGGTATCTCCTGGCTCCTCCGTCTCCTTCCTCCTCCCTCCTCCTCCTCCTCCTCCTCGCCTGGCTTCGCCCCTCCTCCTCCTCCTCCTCCTCCTCCTCCTCCTCCTCCTCCTCCTCCTCCTCCTCCTCCTCCTCCTCCTCCTCCCAGTCGCCTTCTCCAACTCATCCTCCCCCATCTCTCCCTCCTTCTCCTCCCCACCCATCCCTTCAGAGCTCCCAGCGCACCCCCCCCAGACCTCCTCACGACCTCCAGGAGCACCTTCCTCGCCCTCGTCCCCAGGGGGCCCCGCGCGGCTGCAAGAAACCCGCGCGGAGCGCCACACATTCATGTCTGTGGCGTGCTCTCTTCTTCGAGATCCGGGGCCGACGTTGCCCCCTCGGCCTGCCAGGGCCGACCTCCCCGTCGGCCTCGGCGCTGCCGAGCGGCTGCCTCGCGCGCGGCGGCCCCGCCTCGGCGGGGGCCGCGCGCCTCCCCGCCGCGGCGTGCCCCCGCGAGCTCCCCGCGGCGCGGCGAGCGGAGCCCCCCTGCGGGTGCTCCGGGGCCGCCGCGCCGTCGGGCAGACCCCCCCTCCGGAGAGCCAGCTTGGCCTGCCGGCGGGGGGCCCTGCCGCGGCGGAGGGCGGCGGAAGGCCAGCGCGGAAGGCCAACCGAAGCAAGGCGAGGGCGGCTCCGCCACTGGAAGCCCGCTCCTGCGTCGAGGGCCGGGCGGGGGGGGGTCCCCCCCCCCCCGAGTCGGGCAACGGCCTCCTCCTCCTCCTCCTCCTCCTCCTCCTCCTCCTCCTCCTCCTCGTCCTCCTCGTCCTCCTCGTCCTCCTCCCCCTTCCCTCGAGGGGGACCACATGGGGGATTGCCAAGGATTTCCCAGGCGCCTTCCGGCGCCGATGTCTGAGGAAAACTCCTGGCGGCTGGGCCAGAACCAGCTGCATGTGGCAGATTTCATAGCCCCCCTTTCCCCTCCCTCCCCCTTCCCAGCGTTCTCCCTCTAGATACCCGGCGCTTCGATTTTTTCGATACGTGGGCCCTCGAAGTCTCGACCACTTGCCCAGTGCCATATCACCCGAGCCGTTTCCAGACGGTTCCGAACCCCCCAATATCAGCCTTCAGAGGACGACATCGGCGACGAAGGGGCCGCTCCGACTTGTTCGACGCGCTGGATGTCCAAGGGCACCTAACTTCGCGCTTCGCGCTGCGCGAAGCGCGAATGATTTCGCGCTCTCGCGCCGCCCCCCCCAAGGGGGGAGACGAGGAGGCTGAGGAGGAATCGGAGCTGCACCGCGAAGCGCGAAAAGCTTCGCGCCCTCGAGGGCGCCCTTGCCGCCTACTCCCGAACGCCCCACCCCCCTCTCCTCTGCTGCCAGTTCTCCATCTTGTGCTGCTCTGGCCCGGAGGGCCACCGCAGCCCGCGCCGCTCCTCCTCCAGGCTGGCCTCGCCCCACCGCACCTTCGCGTCCACCTCTCGGCTCGGCGGGGCCCCCGGGGAGGAAGCGGAGGGGGGGGGCAGGGGAGGAGGGAGGGATGGGGGGGGGCTTGAGGAGGAGGAGGAGGAGGAGGAGGAGGAGGAGGAGGAGGAGGAGGAGGAGGAGGAGGAGGGGGAGGGGGGAGGGGGGAGGGGGAAGGGGGAGTGGGAGGGGGGCAAGCTAGGTGCGCTCGCGTCATATCTGACATCCTACCCCTCCCTCCCATCCCTTACCATGGCGTAGATCCCCTCTCTACTCGCACAGTCGGATGTCGAGCAGGGCAATGATCCCGAAAGGGTACGCGATGCATTGTAGAGCACGGCATGGCATGGCGTAGAAGAGCACCGCAAAGCGTAGTATGTCACAGCATGGCGTGGCGTGGCGTAGTGAAGAATAGCATCACAAAGCTTTGCAACGCAAAGCATGGCATCGCACAGCGGGCCCGAACAGAACATTGCATAGCATGGCGGCGTTGAAGATCAAATCGTAGCATGGCATAGCACGACGTGGCACTTAAGCACTGCATATCACAGCTTCAGCTGAAGGCATGGCATCGCGCAGCGGAACGCAACCTAGCATTGCATTGCATGCCGTGGCAAGGCACGGGAAATGACGCCAGCGCTGCAGCGGAGCACGATTCGGAACGAGCGGAAGCGCGGAACTGAGGCCAACGCTGCAGCGGGAGCACGATTCGGAACGAGCGGAAGCACGGAAATGAGGCCAGCGCTGCAGCGGGAGCACGATTCGGAACGAGTGGGGCCCGAAAGTGAGGCCGGCGCCTCAGCGAGCAGCATTTTGGAAAAAATGCAGGCGAAAACCCAACTCTGGGGAATCCTGTGTAAAAAACAATACGCGGGGGGGGGGGCCGAACACTCCCAACCCGTCATCAGGGGAAGGAGGAGAGTAGTATTCATATTGAGTAATTGTAGTGTGAGGGAGAGGGTCGCCCGGGGGGATGCGTATCTGCCCCCCCCTGGTGGGGAGGATAGGGAGGGGCTTCGCCACGACTACGATTTCCTTTTGTTTCGTGTTCGATTTCCTTTTATTTCGGGCGACGACGATGACGACAAACGCCGACGACGACGACGACGACGACGACGACGACGACGGTGATCCACGCAAGTCGACGACACCAGGATGCGTCTTCCACACCCCGACAGGGTCGGCGGATTCTTCTTCTTCTTCTTCTTCATTGTTATTAGTATTATTACTATTATGATGATGATTACTCGCGTCATTCTCATTATTTTTATTATTATTATTAATATTAATATTATTATTCTGACTACTATTATTAGTATTATTAGTATTCGCATTCGTATCAGTATCAGTAGTAGTATTAGTATACTTGTTCTTATTCTTCTTCTTCTTCTTCCTCCTCTTATTAGTATCACTACTTCTACTACTACTAGTATTATTACTGTAATCAGTCTTATTGTTATTATTCGTGGCATTAGTTGTTATCATTGTTCTTAGTGGTATTACTATCCTCCTCATCCTCCTCCTCCTCCTCATGCTCTTGCTCCTCCTGCTCCTCCTCCTTCTCCTCCTCCTCCTCCTACGTCTCCTCCTACGCCTCCTCCTCCTCCCTCCTCCTCCTCCTCCTCCTCCTCCTCATGCTCTTGCTCCTCCTGCTCCTTTTCCTCCTCCTACGCCTCGCCTCCTCCTACGCCTTCTCCTCCTCCCTCCTCCTCCTCTCCTCCTCCTCCCTCCTCCTCCTGATCCTCCTCCTCCTCCTCCTCCTCCTCCTCCCCCTTTTCCTCCTCTACGCCTTCTCCTCCTACGCCTTCTCCTCCTCCTCCTCCTCCTCCTTCCCTCCTCTCCTCCTCCTCCTCCTCCTCCTCCTCCTCCCTCCTCCTCCTCCTCCCTCCTCCTCCTCCTCGTCCTCGTCCTCCTCCTCGTCCCGTCCTCCTCCTCTCCTCCTCCTCCTCCTCCTTCACCCCCTCCTCCTTCTCCTCCTCCTCCCCCTCCTCCTCCTCCTCCTCCTCCTCCTCCTCCTCCTCTCCTCCTCCCCCTTCCTCCCTCCTCCTTCCTCCTCCTGCTCCTCCTGCTCCTCCTGCTCCTCCCTCCTGCTCCTGCTCCTGCTCCTCCTCCTCCTCCTTCTCCTCCTCCTCCTCCTCCTCCTCCTCCTCCTCCTCATCCTCCTCCTCCTCCCCCCTGCTCCCCCTCCCCCCTCCTCCTCCCTCCTCCTCCTCCTCCTCCTCCTCCTCCTCCTGCTCCTGCTCCTGCTCCTGCTCCTGCTCCTGCTCCTCCTCCTCCTCCTCCTCCTCCTCCTCCTCCTCCTCCTCCTCCTCCCTCCCTCCCCTTCCTCCTCCTCCTCCTCCTCGTCCTCCTCCTCGTCCTCCTCCTCGTCCTCCTCCTCGTCCTCCTCCTCCTCCTCCTCCTCCTCCTCCTCCTCCGCCACGTCTTCATTTACCTCCGACGTCTCATGACGCATCCCGTCACCCTCGAGGGCCGAGGTATCCAGGGTCGGCGGCCACTGGCCCCATGGCATGCCTGTGTAACGTGGCCACGGCTTCGGCTCCTGTGGCGGCGGGCGAGGCCCGCCCTTCGAGAGCCCTGGGGACCTTCCAGCCCCGACTCGAGCCTGGGGCTCGGCGGAGCCCAAGACGGCGCCGGTGATCGGGCGCCTCGGGCGGGCGCTGCTCGGCGCCGGCGCGCGGACTGAGGTGGACGTGCTCCACGAGTGGCTCGGGCCGCTCAGCGCGGAGGAGGAGCCCGGGCCCAGAGAGCGCCTGGGGGACATCCGCGAGGCCCCTCGGCGTGGAGTGCCTGCGGGGCTCTTGGCGCCGAGGGGCGCGGTGGAACGGCGTCTGCGTGCAGTCGAAGACGAAGCCAGCGGGGAGAGCTTGCCATGGACCGCGGTGGGCCCCGTGCAGAGGGTCGTGACTCTCTACTTGCGGGAGAAGGCCTTCATCCATGCGCGGCCGAAGGAAGGCATCACTTGGACGGAGCATCCTGTATTGACCGAGGAGCAGCGGGAGCAAACGATCTTGGCGGCAGAGCGCCTGATCGAACGTCAAGAGCCGGGCGCAGCTGAGGCAGCCTCCGTGAGGACCGCGTCGGGGAAGGCTTGCGGGGAGAAGGCGGGCATCAGGACGAAGATGGCCGCGTGGAGATGGGTAGAGGTGATACCTCCGCCGTGCTCGCGATTCAGAGCCATCGTGGGTGGGGAGGAAGAGCGACCGTCGCCTTCCTCGCCCGGCGAGGGTGGAGGCTCCTTGGGCTCGGGTCACTGCTCCGTGCTGGGCGTGCCACCGCCGTGTCGGCTGGGCGGCGGGCGGTGGAGGACGTTGCAGAGCTTCGGCGAGCTCGTGCGGGAGCTCTGCGACAGCGGCGACCTCGAGATCTTCGCCGCCTGCATCGGTGCGGCCATCATCGGGATCCACGTGCTGAGGGTGTGCGGGTGCAGGTCTTCCAGCGGCGTGGAGTCCGATGGCGACGTGGGGTCGGACATCGGACACGGGGAGCATCCCCCCAGGCACGGGCACCGGAGACCGCGGCGAGGAGCCAGGATATGCCAAGACACCATGCGCGGAGCCGGCCTGGAGCCAGGCGGACTTGGCGTCGGCCGCGGGGGAGGTGAAGTCGAAGATCGACCGAGGTGGCCGAGGTGCTGGGCCGAGACGTGGGAGTGGCGACGTCAGGGCCACCAACCTCCTCCTCCTCCTCCTCCTCCTCCTCCTCTTCCTCCTCCTGCTCCTCCTGCTCCTCCTGCTCCTCCTCCTCCTCCTCCTCCTCCTCCCCTTCCTCCTACTCCTTCTCCTCCTCCTCCTCCGCCTCCTCTTCCGCCACGTCTTCATTTACCTCCTCCTCCTCCTCTTTCTCTTCGTCCTCCTGCTCCTCCTCCTCCACGCCTTCTCCTTATAGATAACTCCTCCCTGTCGCACCCCGAGACCAGGTTTTTAAAGGGCGGGCCGGGCGTTTCGCCTGAGACTTCCTCACCATTTGTCCCAAACATGGCGTTCTGGCACGATTTTGGATCGTCAAGACGCAGCAGTCAGGTTGATACGTGGCGTTGGCATCCCGAGAACAATGTTTTGGCACGCTTCAGTATCTTCAAACTGATGTCTTCCAACGAGGCAGTTCCCTCAATGGAGGAGGGAGCTTGGAGGGAGGTTTACTTCCAACATCGCTGATGACTCCCGGGGCGGCGAGCAGATGGGCCAGCCCCCCTGGCCTCAACCCCGAGGGTGGGCCCAGCAGGGCCGACGCCGATCTCTCCGTCGAAGGAGCTGGCGGCGCACGAGGGGGTGGCGAATCGCGACTCGGGCAGCTCGGCACGGGCCGGCCACTGCCGGATCTCCTCGCCCGAGGTCGAGTGCAGGCTCTTGGGAGAAGGCATGGGGACATGGCGGAGCTCGGCGACCCCTCGGGGGACCAGGTCGTGCAGCCGAAGGAGGAGGCGACGAACCCGAAGGACGGCTTGCTCAACACGCTGCAGCGCCACCGCACGACGACGTGCGCTCCCGTCGGGGGCGTGAGGTCCCGCATTACACCCACGGTGCTGGCGAAGCTCTACAAGGGGGGCCGAAGCGCCCGTATCGAGACGCAGGAGGTCAACATGCTAGCCATGGTCTTGGACCGTATGACGAGTCAGGGCCAGTACGACGGGCTCATCAACTCCCAGGCGGCGGAGCTGACGTGCCTGCGGCTCTACTCAATCTGGAAAGCGTACGAGCGGGTGCAATGCAGGGCCGACCGGCACTTGCCGGAGGGCGAGCTGATAGTGAGTCCGCACCTTCTTGGGCAGGATGGGGCTATCGGGCCCCCATCGGCCCTCAATGGGCGATGGGGGGTCGATGCATCCCCCCCCTGTGCTCATCCCCCCCTCTCGTTGCCCCAGCGCGGCCGGGCGCGGCCGGGCGCGGCCGCGAGCCGCGAGCCGTGGGCGCCTGGAGCTCGGGGGCTGGCGAAAGGCCGGCCTCGGAGCGCCCCTCCGACAGCCGTCCCGCATCACAAGGCTGCGCGGTGAGGCTGCCGTGGGCCTCGGGCGCCCTCGCCCCGAGGCTCGCGGCCGACGAGAGGGGCCAAGGGCCAAGAGGTGGACCGAGGAGGCAAGGATCAAGTCGGGCCTGTCCCTCTACAGGGGGGATACTCAAAAATGGTAAAAAGATAGTCCGGGGGACGACTTTTTGAGCATCTTTGTTGGCCATTCTGTGGCGTTCTTGGCGTATTGAATCTTTCGTCCAAAAAATTCCCGTAGGGGGCCAGGCCCGACTTCAGGCAAGGATGCAGGAGCACCCTCGGGAGGGCTGCCCCTCCTATGGCCAGGCGGGTTGACCGTGCCAGGCACGCAGGTCATCTGCGCCGGAGCTCCAGCTGCCTGGTCCATGGAATGATCGGGTCGGGCGAAACGGGGGGGATAGCAAAGGGGGGGTTTGAGAATCAGCTCACGTAGCTAATTTTCCCGGCGCCTCCCGGCGCCGGAGGCGGCTATGTATCGAGGAACGGGCCCCTCGGTGAGGCCGAAACCAGCTGCATGCAGCAAATTTCGTAACCCCCCCTTTCCCAATCCCCCCCTTTCGCCCGGCCCGAAATGAGCGCCCCGGCGCCCGTGCCTCCGGCACCGCGGCGGGGCTGGACCAACAGACGCTGCGCGGGTTTCTTCCGCGCGAGGCCCCGCCGTGGTCCAGTAGAGGCCTGGCGGCCAGCGCGCCCGAGCAGCCCGCGCGGGCCTCGCTGCACTTCTCTCCCGGTCGCCTCGATCTTGTGGGCGAGATCGCTACGGCGACCTGGTCGACTCGGGTCGCCCCGAGGCGTGGTGTCCCGGGCCCATGTGCGTGCAACATACATACAGAGGACATGTCTATACACTGATGAAATTCTTTCCCAGCGCGATGGGCAGAGAGGAGTGTACTGAGGGAGGGGGGACGGGGAGAGATGTTGGAGGGGCTCCATGGTTACACTGTTAGGGTACTTCTGAAGCTCGGACGTAGCACGAGTAGGAGGTGGAGTGGCACCATCTCGGATCAGGCAAAAGGTTGGTGAAAGAGAGGCGGGGGGGAGGTGTACAGAGAGGAGGGCGGATAGATCATGCATCCAAAAACCACTCCCCGCCTTGTGGGGGAAGACCATCGTGACGTCCGCGCGCCCCAGCCTCGGGGCGGACGCAAGAGGGCGACAGCAGAGGGGGGATCGGCGCACCGGCCGCGTGCAGCTGGCTTTCCCCTGGCGCCCGTAACTTGGACGCCCGAAATGGGTACGGGCAAAAATGTGTACACTGCCCAACAACAAATGTTGTCCCAAACCAGCAGCGGCGGCTGTTGGGCAGGCGGCCTTCGGTCTCAAATGTGCACAGGCCGCGGCGACACCGACAGCGAGTCCTGTTCAACATGAACAGGAACTGCTGTTGGGCATTGTACCGATTCTTTCCGTACCCTTCTCGTTCGTGCCGACGTAAGTAGAAGCCTCCTAGATGGGGTCCGAGTAGATGGGGTCGGAGGATCGCGCCGCATCGCCAATGCATCGCCAATGCATCGCTGATGTATCGCCGATGTATCGGCGAAGCATCGGCGATGCTTCGGCGATGCATCGGCGATGCATCGGCGATGCATCGGCGACGTCGGCGTGGTGAAACACGGGCTCCACATCGAGCCGCATCGCTCAGCGATGCGGCGCGATCCTCCGACCCCATCTACTCCGACCCCATCTAGGAGGCCTAGAGTAAGGGCGCGAGTCCTGTTCAAAATGGACAAGAACTGCTGTTGGGCATTGTACCCATCTCGTTCGTGCCGACGCAAGGGCGATGGAGGCGGCGCCCACGTCGAGGAGAATGCTCGGCGGCGGGGCCGAGACCGGCTGCGCGCAGGCCGGCGGCGGGCCCGGGGCAGATGTCGGATGGGGCCGGGCCGTCTCGGAAGGCTCGGGAGGCCTCCGGCCTTCTCGGAAGTTTTCAACCCAGACGTGATCGCGTCGTACAAAAAAAAACAGGAATCGACGGGGGGGTGTTTGGCCAGTTTCGGCCTCGGGGAGGCCTCGCCTGTTCAACACAGAGATGATCGCGTCGTAAAAAAACAGGACGGGAGGTGCTTGGCCAGTTTCGGCCTCGGGGGGGCCTCGCCGGGCCTCGGGAACGCCAAGAAACAACTCAGGATGGAACACCGGTCCCGGGGAAAAGGGTCGGGACTGCCAGGGTGGCCGTGCTGGCAAACATCAGGACGTCGCATGTCTGGGAAGGCCCTCTCCAGAGAGAGGCGCTTCAGACGGCCTCAAGTTTCGGAGGCGGCTTCTCAAAGGGCCCGAGGGCTCCTGAGAAACCCCGCCCTCTGAGAAGGTCTGCCCCTTCTCACTTCCGCCCGGACCCCGCCCCCTCAACCCCAGCCGGTAACCAGCTATACCGAGTTTTGTGTTGCAGCACGGGGTCCCCAGAAGTCGCGACCCCTTCCCCAGGGCAGCTTTTCCACCCCGCGCTGTTTTCTAGCTGCCCCTGGGCCCTGCGAGGGGATTCGAGACGGAAGTCGGCACATGTAATCGGTTGGATTAGGATAGCGAAGGATGAGAATGGCTTATCACCCAAAGAGGAGCCAAGTGCGCGACGCGCGTGGATTGAGCCAGGCGCGGAGGCGGCACATAGCCTTAACCTCAGACTCCCCAACCGACTACTCTCGACGCATTCGGGGGCGCGTCGCCATCGCGTCTTCTGTTTCTCATTGCTGGGGACACCACAAGGTACCATACCGCTGCTCCCCGGACCTCTCCTGACCAGGATTTCGAGGCGAACCCAACGATGGCGGTGAGGGCCCCCCAGGAGGCCCGGAAACTCCTCTGCATCACGCGGCAAGGCTGGCCCCGCACCCCTTTGTCGGCCGTCCCCGCAACCGCGCCCTGCCGCCGCCCCGCCGGTCCACGGCGGGCCGGTGACCCCCGAAGTCCCCCTCGCCCGGGCGCGGCCTGGCCTGGCCCGTTCCGTGGCGGGCATCGTGTGCGATGCCCCTCCTCGCCCTCGGAGCGGCCGCTCCTGGCCGCCTGCCTGCCCGCTGCGCTGGAGCGCAGCGAAAGGGTCGTCACGGGAAGGGTCCGCTCCAAGGCGGGCAGGCAGCCTCCCAACCCCCTCGGGGCGACTGGGAGGGGGGAGGAGGAGGGGGGGGAGGAGGAGGAGGAGGAGGAGGAGGAGGAGGAGGAGGAGGAGGAGGAGGGAGGAGGAGGAGGAGGAGGAGGAGGAGGAGGAGGAGGAGGAGGAGGAGGAGGAGGAGGAGGAGGAGGAGGAGGAGGAGGAGGAGGAGGAGGAGGAGGAGGAGGAGGAGGAGGAGGAGGAGGAGGAGGAGGAGGAGGGGAGGAGGAGGAGGAGGAGGAGGAGGAGGAGGAGGAGGAGGAGGATGAGGAGGACGACGAGGAGGAGGAGGAGGTGGAGGAAGAAAACGGGGAAGGGGATGAGGAACACCGCCGTGGAAAGGACCCCGTTGCGTATACAAGTGCCTGACAATGACCACGGATTGAGCGCCAATAGAAAGGATCTCGACTGGTTCGCCTTGATTTCGGTTTGGCTGAGGACTTTCGGTTGATTGCCAACCGCAAGGCGCTCAATATTGTCATTACGCGCGTTGGAAAACCCCGAAACCTCAGGACAAACGCGGCCGAGGTAACGTGATTGCTGACAAACGTGGCCGAGGTAACGCGATTGCTTTCCAGTAGTGGCCTCGCCGAGGCTGCACCCACCCCCCTCCAAGGATACATGGTGGTTCAGGGTGTGAGGCGACTGGGCCCAGCACCCCATCGCGTGCACCCCAACACCACAGCCTAGGATAAATCAATCACCCCCAACTAACAGTATCAGGTCGAGAGCGTTCCGTGCCCATTCCACCTGTCTTGGAGGCCTTGGAGAAAGGACGAGGCAACAGCAGCAGAAGGCGGGAGGGGAGGCGGGAGGGACGGTCAGAGGCGGCCGACGCCCTTCGGTCTCCTCGACCTCAGCCTCCGTCGTCGCATTCATGCTGTCGAACGTCGCCCTCGCTAGCCTAAGGCACACCATGCACGCGCGTCATTCGAACAGCAGGGCGCGGGCCCGATCGTGGACTGGTGCCCAATTCTGCTCTAATGCAACTGCTGCCACTTCGTCGGCCGCGGCGCAACCCGCCGCCAGCGTTCGCGCGCCTCGGCCTTGGCCGAGCTCGGCCTCTGACAAGTGAGAGCGCATGAACGGCGATGGGACAGGCCTGCCCCCAGCCGCATCTCCACGGTGGCCCGCAGATCGGTCTCCACGCACTCGAACATGAGCATCAACCTGCCACCCTGCCACAACATTTTTGAAACCTGCAGCGTCTGCTGCATGGCCTTTGAAGGCCAAAGGGCGACAGCGAACGCCTTGAGCTCCACTCTTGCAACCACTTAGGCGCGGGCCATAAACTGCTGCCTCCGCGCCCGCGCCATTTATCTTCTTCGCCACTGCCCATCCAACGCGCCTGCCTCGCGTAGCTGGCCCTGCCCTCGACGCGGCCCCGCGCAACCGGACATGGCCCATCTCGGCGCCAGCGTCGAAGACCCTCTCCTCCAGTGCTTTCGTGCCGGCGTTGCTCCACTGCTCGTCTTGCAGCGCACCTGCAACCTGAATCCAGTCCGCTGGCAGCGCGCCCCTTAACCAGAAGCCCTCGGTGGCCTCGCCTTGGGCTATGGCTTGCTGGGGCAGGTCGGCGGTGTCGGTCCGGTGCGCACTATGGCTTCGCATTTCATCTCGCACAGCCGCGCCCGCCGCGCGGGGCCCGCGTCAGAATCCTCGCGCCTGTCGCACGCGGCGTCGCCGCGGTAGGGCTTGATCACCTCCCCCTTGCGAAGCGGGGCCGCGGCCCCCCCGCGGCGACGTTGAGCGCCGTCTCGGAAAACCCGGTGACTTGATCCTGCTCAGCAAGATACCGTAGCAACAAACTGTCCGAATCGCTGTCCGCGCCTCCTTCCGACCGCTGCCGCAGGAGACGCCGCGTGCTTCCGCTGTCGCCACCTCGCCGCGTCTAATATCCCGCGGCGCAGGCTGGTGCGCATCTAACTGCACGTTGCCGATGCAAATGGCATCTGGGAACTGCCACTCCTCAGTGGCACCGTTGTCGCCGACGCCCAATCGCTCGCCGGGCGAAGCTGGTCTCCGCTCTGGCCTGGGCGACTGCAAAACGATTGCCGGAATGAGCCAATGCACCTGTCGAACCAACTCCCTCGCGGGTCGGTCTTCCAGCGACTGGGCCATCATGGGCTCGACGCGCCGAATACTTTTGCGAAGGCCAGAACTGCTTGCCACGCAGGGAGCCACAAGTCCGACTGCTTCGTAGGGTAGACGATGGCAGGGCCGCCCTGCGGCGCCCATATCTCTAGCAAGGCTGCCAGGCATCGCCCAGCCGTGGGGGCGCCACACTGCGCAATTTGCTTTCTGCAATCTGTGATTCGGCGGCTCTGTGCCCCGTGGGCCCGGCGACCCGCGTGCGCCCCCCACTTGGCCCCCCGCCTTCGAGCAGGCGAAATGTCTGGTGAAGCCCATAAGCAACGCCCACAGATTTGACTCGGCTGCGCGATTCTCATCCCGCTCCGCGCGCGCGGCTCGGCCACGCCGACCGCAAGTAAGATCGGCGCCGGAAAAGCCGCGCATCCTTCCCTCTGTGACCACCGAACATCCACCTCGCCTGCTGGTTCGCAGGACAACTGGCTTCGGCGAGAACCTCAGCATGCTCCACCGCTGCTCGGCGCGTGGCCATCGGCCGAGATGCCAAACTCCTGGCAACTCCGTTCCTGGACCCAACTACTTTTGGAAAGATCTCACCCGCCGGTAGCCGATGCCCCGCGTGCGGGCTTGCCAAGTTGAGGCGAAATGCATCGGCATCCTTGCGGATACCGCGCCGCTCCCTCATCCGCGGGCCGCTCGCTGGCTCGGCCCAAATCGATGGGCGACGGCCCCGCCGTGGAGTGGCAATCTGCAAACAATGTGCTGCATTTGCTCCGCGTGCAAAACGTCGGTCGGGATCGATAGCCGCAGCGCCGCCCTGGCGAGCGACTGCCGCGGCACTGGGTGGCAGAACTTCTGCGCGTCCGTGATGGCGCGCTCGTAGTTCGTCTGCGTGGCGCGCGCCAGCTCCTCGTCGCTGGCCAGTATAAGCATGTCCTGCAGACGCGAGTTTCCCGCCGACGCTGCGCCCCGCGCCCCCGCGCGTTCCCTGGGCTAATCCATGACTAACGGTTCCCCGATTCGAGACCGCATCCGCCCGTGGATAGATAACACGCAGGTGGTCTTGTAACCTGCAGATGTATTTCTTGTGGATAAGACATCCCAAGATGAACGTGGCCGCGTCAGCTGCTGCTCAGCCGCGCTCAGGATGAGTGCAAGCTCGCAGATAGCGACGGCTGGGGGCTGTTGATAATCCATCGGCGTGAACACGTCGACCCTGGGCCCTGCGGTCGCTGGTATCTTAGGCGCGATCGATCTAATTTGCTGACATAGCAGACAATGGCTCTATCGTGGCCGCTTGCCGATCTCTATCGAAATTGATCTGCCGTGGCCCTTCCTATCGATGGGTCTAAGGGCCCGCGGGCGTTGGCGCTTCCACTGCTTGCTGTCAATGATGTCCTTAGGATGGATCCGCGGGCCCCGGTCTCCGAACACTTCGTTGGGCGGCAATGGTTGCGCAGTGAGCGGCCGCCGCAATTTTCGCGTCGCTGCTGATTCGGCGATCCACTGCCGGGAGTCCGTCAGACATTCGCGCGCCGCCGCCCCCCGCGAACGCTCCGTCGCCCGTTTGGCGGATTCGACCGGGGGCTCGAAGATCGGGCCCGCGCCTCCGTCAGTTTTGCCAGCGCAAGAAGCAATTGTTGCCGAGGTGCCCCCCCACCACGAGTGTGTGTGTATATATATATATATATGTATTATCATTATTATTATTAGTAGTAATATTTATTCTTATTATGTTTTAATGAAACCCTGGCGGCCGCGAGCTGACGACGCGCGCGCGCCGTGACACGCTGCCATAACTGCTCGGGTCCGCGATCTCGCTTCCGACGTTTGGCCGAGCCGGGGGCCGCGGTGCGAAGGCGGGCCCGCCGCTGCGATGCCCGGCCCAGCTGCGGCAGCTCGAGAGCGCGCGGGGCCCGGGGCAGTGGCTTGCATGGCCGCGGGCTCGGGCCATCGGTCCGAGAGATAGCGCCGGGAGAAGAGCGCGCCCCATGATGGGGGGGAATGGCTGTCTCCGCGCTCCGAGCGCACGACGCGCGCGGCCCCTGATTTTGATGCGCGAGCTGGACTATCGAGCCAGGAGGCCCCGGAGGAGTGCAAGGGGGGGGGGCGCAGGAGGCTGAGCTGCAGCAGCCCCTGGTGTAAATCCCAAGGTCGCCTGCGTTCTACCGGAGCTGTCCCCGAACGCCGCAGTCGGGGGCAGTCGCGGGGTCGGGGGCGCCGGGCGCAGTAGTGCAGCCGGGCGCGCGAGCGTTCTCTTGAAAGGCGGGGCGTGCCCGGGGCGGGTCGGAGCTCCTCGCGGCCGCCGCGGTGCCCGTGGGCGTTTTGCATGCGTGCCTGAGAAGTCATGGGCGGCAACTCAGCCCCCTGGAGGAACCCGGCCACGCGGGGGGGGCGGGGTCCCATCTGAACTGAACTGCGCAACTCCGAATTAACGACGACAGAAGACCCGCTGATCTCCAGGGGCCTGCCCTTATGCGTCCGCGTCAGCGACGGGCTGCCCCTCGTAGCGCCGCGCGCCGCCCCGCCCGGAACTGGGTCGGGAACCTCGGGCATGGCGGGGCCGCGAGGGCAGCAGGCAGAGACGAGTCAGGTCGCCGCTGGAGCTCATCGACCCGCGTCCCTAAGGGTCGTGGTCGAGAGCGCCCGCGTCCTTGCGCCCGTCGGGGCCGGGCGCGCGCGGTCTCGGGCTCCGCCCCTCAACCGCTCCCCGAACAGCTGGAAGTGCCCCCCCTTCGCTTCAACTGGGCAGCGCCGCGATTGATCTGCAGCTGCGCCTCGGCCCTGCCGGCCCTGGAACCAGGGGCAGGGTCAGCTTCAGCTTAGGGCGCTGCGGCAGCTTCCCAGGGGGGGCCCAGAGGCCCCGCCATAAGTTGGAAGGCCGAACTGCAGAACATCATGACGAGCCCGCAGTGGGGCTTCCAAACCACATCCTTGACTGCAGCAAAGTCCTGCGCAGGCTGGATGGCTGACTTGCTCATTGCTGAATGACTTACTATCGCGTCGGTTTCTTTTTGCTGTGGACACGTGCCCTTGATCTCGGGCGCACTTCGGGCGCGGTCTGCAATTCGACCCAGGGCGTGCGATTTGGCCAGCGAAGACGGCGGCGTTTTAAAGTCTCCGGGATGCGCAGCCGCAAGTGCCGCTTCGCCACGACCACCTTCCAACCTTTGCATGACTGAGCTCTGGCTCGAGGAGCAGAGCGCAGTCTGCCATGTCCGCGAGCGGCAGCGCGGTGCAACCTCAGCTTCCAATCCCGAGCTTTGGCTGTCCAACCTCGCACCTCCGACTCCACGTGACAGGCAGTTTCTACGAATCCCCAGGATTCGTGGAATCTGGGCCTGGGCCCTTTAAAACGCCATGCGCTGTCCGAGCGCGCTGCTGGCGTCGAACATCCGAGCGATATCATCGCCGCGCCCCTCATCGTCAGCTCGCGCTGTCTATGGGCCTTCGCCGTCCAGTCGCCCCCTGGCAGCTGGCGCGGCCCCTGCAGACCCTGCAGCCGCCCCGCCCTTACCACTCACCTTCAAGCGCAGCGCCCGCGCGTCGAACTTCGCTTGGGAAAGGCGCTCCGCGTCGGCCTTGCGCCGCGCATTGCGGGCGTCCTCGACCGCCGCGGTGGCCCCCGCGTGGTCCACCTTGAGCCGCCGATGCCGCCGCCCCCGCGTGGCCCGCCGGGCCCGAAGCCGCCGCCGCCTTCTTCTCTTCTCGGACCCCCCCCCGCTGGCCAGGACGGTGGAATTTTCTCTTTTTGCCCCCCATGGCAAATCCGAACCAGGCTCATGGATCACTAGAACAATGGACGCTCCACGCCGTCTACGCCTCGGGGCAGAGCTAAACCCGCTGCTATCACCATCGCCGAAGACATGCCACGACCGACCATCTTGGTTCGCATTCTGATCCAGGAGCCTGACGCCCCCCAGAAGGATCTCGTGGCCCAACTCAGGACCCTCGCGAAACAAAGGGGCCATGAACTCCTTCCGCGGGGCCCCCCAAAGCCGCAGTGCTGGCTCGGCCTCACAAGTAACATCTTCGTGCCCGCAGCTGGGTGGGGCACGTCCATATACGATGGCACCAAATTTCAAAGGGGCAATTTTACATCTCGGGCAAACCTCAGGACAGTCATAACCTGCTTCACGTTGCCGTTCTAGTGGCCATTTACCGTCAGCAAAAACAGTAGTATTGGCCGGCCACAGTTTCATCTCTCCTATCTTGGCAATATAATCCAGCTCCCGAGGAGGAAGTACCATGTTCGCTTCAGCACATAGGTCATCACCAGACGGATGCTTAGACGCCGACTGCCAGAGCTGCAAAGTGCAATCGCCTATGCAATCGCCACGCAAGTCATCGACATTGGCCATGACAGCAACATCGAGTCTTGGGTCGCCACAGGACGGTAAGGCCCACTCCTCAGGTCCATCAGGCCCACTACGCAACCAAACGTTGGCCTCACGAGACTCCCATCCAACCTGAATCATAATGGCCTGCACCGCCGCGATAGGACCGCGAATGTCAAACCATTAGGCCGAGACATTAGCGAACTGCGGGGGCCTCGCACGAACAGGGCCCCACGCTCGCCGCACACGTGGCTGAATGCCAGGCTGACGAAGCCAAAACTGGACCCATTCACGCAATACCTGGACGCAAAGATCAACACCAGGGACAGCCCATCGTGACCTGCAAGACTGAGGTAAGGCAGCGCCCCCGCTTGGAGCCCGCCAGCGCACGTCTTACCCGACCTCTGGGACCTGTGGCTCTTCTGCGGCCTGTGGGACCTACGATGGGCGAGGTTACGAGGATAAGGAGGAGGATACATAATAATCTGAGGAGGAGGGGGAGGAGGAGGAGGCGGAAGACCAATGCAAGCCCAAAATGAACCAACGATGTTGCAATAAACCCTCCCTCAGCGTTCCTTCCTGGTAGTCCCCTACACAGATTTATGTTCACGGATGAGAATATCCCATTGAGAAAAAAAACATTTGAACATTGTGAACAGTGCCAGGTCACCTTCTGGTAAATTCAGCGCAAAAAATCAACGTGACAGTTGCGTCTTGACGATCCCGAATCGTACCAAAACAACATTCCTGGGACTTCAACACCGCGAATCAAGGGCCGCCAGCCCCATTGTGTGGCCACCAAGCTGTACGCCGAAGTGTGCTGCTTCCTGCACCAGTTGCAGTTTCAAATCTCCAATACTACAATCCTGCTTTCTGCTTCCGTTTGTAAATTGTTGCTGTCCACGCGAGGGGGGGGGAATCCCAAACCCGCAATGTACCACCCTCGGACCGCGTTTCCTGAATTTCTGGAGGGGGCGTGAGACTCGCGCCCCCGAGGCCACAATCCGGCGTAATTTACACAACGTTCGCATCCTCGAGGCCATTCACCCTCGCAAATTATACAATTGTTGCGTCCCCGAGGCAACAAACCTTGGAAAAGTACTCGCTGTTCGCGTCCCCGAGGCCATAAACCCTCGCACATTACGCCGTATTTGCGTTGCCGAGGCCAAGAATGCTCCAAGGCGCCCGAAGATGATTCCAAGACGGCCCAAGAAGGCCCTAAGAATGCTCCAAGAGGCCTTCCGAAAGTGGCCTTCTCGCATATTCGGCATTCAAGCGCTCCGAGACGGCTCAAGAAGCTCCCAGAACCGCCCCAAGACAGCCCAAAAGGCCTCCAAGAGGGCCCCAATAGCCCCAATACGGCTCCAATATCGCCCAAGAAAGGTTCAAAACGGTCCAAGAGAGCCCCAAGACGGCCCCAAGAGGGGCTCAAGCAGGGGACCAGAACCGACTATTCTGTATAGTTGTGCCCCGAGAGACCCCGAGGAGGCCCCAAAGAGGCCCCAAGAGGCGCTCAAGACACGCCAAAGAGGCCTCCGAGAGGCTCAACAGCTACCCCTACGAGGCCGCAGGAAGCCCCCCAAAGGCACCCAAACCGTCTCCAAGAGGCCCCCGAAGAGGCCCCCCACGACACCCCAACGCACATACAAGAGGCTTCGGACCCACAACCCAGGCACGGTGGCAGGATGGACCGAAGGCCACTAGGATCCGCCGCCCCCTGCTTGCAGGGGTGCACGGCGTGCTGGATGTTTCAGGTTTTGGTTTTGGTTCTTTTTCCAAAAGAACTCCCCAGTGGGCTCCGGCAGAACCCGCCGGCCACCCGGAAGGCCCCCAAACGTGCTCAACGACCGGAAACAATCCTCCAAAAAACGGCCGTTTCGCTCGGGACATCCTCAAAAAATCGCGAAGATGGCCCAAGATGGCCTCCAAGTCCGCCCGAGATGGTCCAAGACGGCCTCCAAAACGGCCCAAGAGAGTCCAAGACGGCCCAAGACGGCCCAAGAGGCCCCCCAGAGGCCTCCCAGACGGCCCAAGAGGCCTCCAAGAGGTCCTCCAGGAGAGTCCGAAGAGGCCCAAATCATTGATTTTTCATTTGTTTTTGAAGGATTCTGGCATTTGCGCCTTTTCGGCTCTCCGACGGCTCGAGACGGCCCAAGAAGCCCCCAAGATCGCCCAAGAGGCCCCCAAGAGAGCCCCATGATGGCCCAAGTGGCCTCCAAGATGGCCCCTAGAGGGCCCCAAGAGGGCCCAAGAGGCCTCCAACACGCCCAAGATGGCCTCCAGACGCCCAAGATGGCCTCCAAGACGGCCCTGGAGCATTCCAAGCGGGCCCCAAGTCGGCCCATAGAGGCCCCCCAAACGGCTTCCGACGGCTTCAGACGTGCCAGGAACCCACCAAGATGGCCGAAGTTGGCTCGAAGCTGGCCCGAGACGGCCCAAAAAGCCCCAAAGATCGCCCAAAGCTTGCCCAAGAGGCCTCCAAGACGGCCAAGATGACCTTCAAGATGCCCACGTGTTCCCCGAAGGCTTTCCAAACCGATTCGGGGAACACGTGGTCCGATAGCTTGGCAGGTCTGGCCTCAACGTTCGGCCACATAGGCGCTTCCAAAAAGGCAGGGGGCGGCGGTGATTCGCCGTAGGCGTCTTCGATAACGCCAACGTCTCAACATGCGCTGATCCGCCCCCGCATGATGTTCCTAGTTGCGCCAAGGCTGCGCCGAGACACACCGACGCGACTCTGATACATCCCATTATGATAGAGTGGGGCGGCGGCAGGGGGCGAACATCTAACGGGTAATGGTTGCACCCCGACATTTCTTATCGTGCCAGAGCACCGTGTCCTGGGCGCTTGCAGTGAGGATCCTCGAAGCGGATGTAAACTGCTCAGACGACGGTGGGCGGCGCTGGAGCGAGAACCACACTTTGCAATCGAGCCGCCCTCCATCCGCGAAGCTCCTGCAGTGTGCTAACACCACACGCGCTCGGCGCCCAGGCGAGAGCCACAGTTTGAAAGCGGCCCGCCCTCGATCAGTGACGCTCCTGCAAATGTTGAAAACGCGTGCACGCGGCACCAAAGCGATAGCCACATTTTGGAAGCGACCCGCCGTCCATCTGTGAAGCTGTTGCAAATCCTTGAGCTTCAGGATCACAACTGGAGGAATTTCGAGCGAAACGCCTAGCCCGCCCTACGGAATGGTCTCGGGGTGCGACAGGGAGGGACGAGTGATTTCGAAGGAAGAGGGATGCAGGAGGAGAAGGAGGAGGAGGAGGAAAAGGAGGAGGAGGAGGAGGAAAAGGAAGAGGAGGCTCCCAAGACGCCCCCCCGCCCCTCTGTGACTGCACTTGGGGTCGCCCTGTCGGGGCTCGGCCAGACCGCCCCCGAGACCTGCTCGGCCTCCCGCGCCGCGTCCTGCGCGGTGCGGTGCTTCACGAACGGCATCTCGGCCGCCGAGGGGGCCCCCCCCGCCGCCGCCGCGCGGGCGCGGCCGCGCGGCCGCTCGCGCGCGCGGGGGGGGTGGGCCTGGAGCGCCGAGGGCGCCAGCGATCCACCCACGCCGACCCTCCCTACGAGCGGCGAACACAGTCCGAAGCCGCGCCCTCGCGGCGCGCGGGGCATGCGCGAAAAACAACGCCCCCCCCTTCTC